GAACTGAATTACCCACAATCAACAGTAGCCTATTTAAAAGTGGAAAGTGAGCTGCGATTGCTAGAATGTGCTCCGAGTCGGCATATGCACGAAACTGGGGGACAGGGACTGACGCGTGCAGTCCAGAGAATTTCGGAAGAACTGCATCGAGCCGATGGCTCACATACTCTAGGAGTTTAAACAGGCAACCGGGAATGTTTTTTCGATCAATGCCATTCGTAAGAAAGCACGTCTGCTTGAAGCCTTTGATCACGAAGTCCAACAACGCTGCTCGGTTAATGGTACATAGCACGTCGACAGTGAGCCGTTGATCAGTAGAAACGATTTCTCTGGAGCACCGAATCAAGGTTCATCCTCTATCGTTCGGATGGCAGGGTCTCGGTCTGGTGTTTGCCTACAGTAAACCTCTGCCAGAATGCATTGTACCCACTGTGAAGTTCAGCGGAGGTGTAATTATTATCTGGAGGTGTTTCTCCTGGTGTGGATTGTCCAGATTCGTGGTAAACTCAACACCGACGCCTGGATGACAGTCTGGTTCCTGCATTGCGAAAGTTTTAAGAGTTGGACACATATTCCTTTCAGACGACATCGCCAGCTGTCATGTTGCGAGGTCCACCATGGATTAGTACTGTGACAATGGCGTTAACCGAATGGACTGACCTGCCCACAGCGTAAACCTGAACTTTATCGTGAACCTCTGGGACGAGTTAGGTCGCCAAATCAAGGGGCCAACAACCGTCCAATATCGATGAAAGAACTTGCATGTCTTCTCCAAGCAAAGTAAGAGAAACTACCAATAACCGTCATATAAGGACTTCTGGAAAACATGCTCCTGATGGTTGAGTCTGTAATTGCCACTCGTGGAGGATCTACCAACTATTGAATACGATTTTTTTTAATTACAGGTGTCCGAATACTTACTGGTAGATGGTGTATAGTAAAACCTATGCAACAAAATAAGAAAACCTTGTAATTATTTCCATAAGATAGCATCTGTATGTTTAATATTATTTCAAATGTTTTTGGAATAAATATTAGCACCTTTTTATGATAAAAAGTGAATAAATGCCATTAAATTATTAAATTAAAAATTAAAATGTCATAAAGCATTTTCATTTTGCATATCTCTGTTAAATTGTTATGAGACTTGGTCATGATCTTGAGACAAAACAGCAATCATCTGCTTACTCTGGAAAAGGTTTACCATGGCCAAAGAACCTTCAGCTACAGAAATTTTGAGCGAAGATCATACTGGGGATCCTTTTTCCTATAAAAGGAATAATTCTCTAGGAATGCTTTTCAGAGAGATAGAGAATGATCTCAATATTTTTAAGGTGTTATGGATAGATTTATGAAGAGAATTCAGAGCATTATACCTGAAAACGCGCAATCGAATAATTGATTTTGCCAACAATACGCCATTACACAACTGCGTTTTCTTCAAGGGTGTGTAGCAAAACAAAATATCACAACTCTCAACCACTCCACCTATTCATCAAATATGGAAGCTGAAGGAACTTTACCTTTCTTAAAAGGAAGTTTCATCTCAATGGTCGTTATTTTAATCGCCGTTGAAGCAATTCAGAGAATAGTGTAAGAGACATAAAAATTATTCCAAAAGGTAAGTTCAGTGAAAAAAACATCAAGCAGATGTATAAACGTGACAGGCGTACCAAAAGATGAAGGAAATGCTTCAAAAGAGATATAAGCTCACCGTTGATAAATTCAGACAACTGCTCGCTCTACATCAGAAGAAACCAGAAAATACTTGGCTTGATTTCTTCTTTGAACTAACGAGTTATTTTGAAAATTAGCTTAGAGAATTAAACATTAAAAGATTTGATGATTTGAAGCAACTCATTATAGCTGACCAAACGAAAAAGAGAGTTTCTCAAGAAATAAGAGATCATTTTTTGAACATTTGGCTGAACTTAAACTCGCCTGCAGGATTAGCAGAAAATTTGAACACTTACGATTATTTACATAATAATCAAAGCAAAGTTGCAATCTTACCAACTCGAAAGAAAAATTCCAATTCGGAAGGTGGTATCCCACACTCCGCACCAGTGAAGAAGACATATACCATTGTAACATATAAACCAACCATCTTTTGCTATAGTTTGTGGCAAAGTTGGATTTACTAAATCAAGATGCCCAGATTGTCAGCACTCCGCGAGTTCAGCCTTAGCTCGTTTTGACAATATTTGTATATAAAAGTTAGGCAACACTAAGACAACTACAGTGAGGAATATCTCCATCAATGGAATATATGGCACAGCTTGTGCGGATAATGGAGCAAGTCATTCAATCGCTGGAAAAAAACTGTACCAAATCTTAAAAGAAGATGGGGTAAAGTTCGAGAAATCCTCTTGCACTGTTTGTCTCGCTGACGACAGCCAAACAACGAAAGATGTTTACACAACTTGTGTGAAACTTGGCCTTGAAGGACGGACCTTCCCTTTGACAGCCTGATGCTACAAACTGTAATCGAACACTGCTTGGAGAAAACTTCCTAAAAGAAGCTGGAGTAGTTCTAAATATTCGTGAGCAAAAGTGATTTTTTGGTGAAATACTTTCCATTTTCTGAAAGAGTTCAAGTTCAATCCTGTGACACGTTAACAAATCCTTGCCTACTATGTCCAGACGAAGGTGAAAATCTAATAAGAACAGCGAAAACGATTGAACGCCTTATTATTAAAATACGAAACTACATTCTCTCCGGGGGAAGAACCAATTCCTTACATCTAACACTGAATTGATACAGGTGACTCACCTCCAATGGCTACAACCCCTTACAGACTATCTCCAGCAAGAAAGGATATTTTGAAGAAAGAAATCGATGCACTTCTTGCATCAGGCATAATCGAAAAGTGCGATTCACCATATGCAGCATCTGTTGTTTTAATTTCCAAGCCGAACGGTGACTTTCGATTATGTATTGCCTACATGAAACTGAATTCTTTGACTAAGTCTGATCCTTACCCGCTGCCTCGTATGGATGAACTTCTTCATAATGCAAAGCAAACTAGATACATGTCTAACATAGACTTCAAATCAGGGTATAACCAAGTTAAGATGTACCCTCCGGACAAAGACAAAACTGCCTTTGTCAGTTTGGAGTCCATAGATTCACAAGGATGCCTTTTAGATTGAAGACGGCATCAACCACTTTCCAAAGATTAATGGACGATTTCCGGAATGGGTTAAAGGTCAATTCTCCTACTTATCGCGATGGTATTATTGTGATGTCTTCTACTTTTGGAAAGCATCTCGAAGACTTGCGTTTAGTGTTTGATCGACTCTTAAAAAATTCAAGCTTCATACCAATCGAAACAAATGTCATTTTGCTTGTTCTAATATGAAACATCTCAGACATTATATCACAAGTTCTGCAACTGAAATAGACCCTGCCAAAGTAAAAGTCATTCAACAAATTCCTTGATCAAAGAATGTGAAGCGAGTACAGAGTGTACCTCAGATTTCAGACCTCAGTGTCAGCTGGTACCGACTCTACATTCCTAATTTTGCAGAGATCTCAAGACCATTGAGTAATCTCTCGAAGAAGCACTCCACTTGGAAATGGAGACCAAAAGAGAACATTTCTAAGAACGCTGCGCAAAAGAACCATTAAGACAATTCTTCCTCTGGCTACTCACCGAGACGTCTTAACATTCGGAAACAAATCCATTTACTCGACTGGGATAAGGGTTTCTTACCCAGGCGCCCGCAATAACCTGAACTTCGTTCACGCAGCGGGGGGGGGAGACTGTAACAAATGAATATCGTCGGCAGCGCGCTCTACCGACGATATAGAAAAAATACTCAGTTCAACGCTCGCGAGCTGCAGAAATGAGATGTGATTGTTTGAACTCACGCTCTGAACTTTTAAAAATTATTTTAATGTAATTCCTTTTTGAGTTTTATCGTTTCCCCGTACGTTGTTGTTAGGTGTCAATAAAACGTCATTTAAAATTAACTCTTTATTGATTGATTGATTTTCTAAGGATATACCGCAACTTTCATTTTTGTGCATCGAAAAATCTGCCTTGTTGCCTGCTGGCCGAATTGCCGGTTGTTGCGTAGAAACTCTAATTTTAATTGTAAAAATTGTTTTTTTGTTTCAACTGTATTTAATGTTTTATTTTTTTCTTAATTTTTCAATTTTTAATGAAGATATTTTGAGGTTTTATGTATTTTTGCCTTACCGCGAACTGAGAACAGAATTGATTGAATGCGAAATATATCTCTAAAGAAATTCGAGGAATTAAATTTAAATGAAATGCGACAAAACGTGAGTATAATTTAATATTCCGTACAAGGAAGTCAAGTGATGTACACATTAGATTTTTTTACTTTTTATATAAATATTATGCATTTTATAACTTGCTTGATATTACTTAATAACCAATTGAATTAAAAATTATTGAAAACTTCTTTTGTGGATTATTTTAATACCTTGTATTTTCTGAAGTAATATTTAATATAATTTCACTATAATAATTTATCGAGAAGGGAAAATTAAGAATACCAAATTGTCATTCACCGAAATTCTTCTCCGTAAAAACAACTTTTTGTTTTAGACAAACTGAGAAAATTACCTCTCTGTCTTTTTTTTCCCTTACAGGACACTCTTAATCTCGACGGCCTTCTAATCTTCGTTAATTTTTAAGTAGTTTAAATACCTTTTCTTTTTATTTCCTAGAAAATTTATGCACTTTAAAATAAGTTTTCAACTTAAGTATCTTTCTGTCATCCACAAAACGATGAGTGAAGGTAGTTAGTTGTAAACATGCTTTTAGTTTCATTGAGAAGATAACTACATTCTTAACAGGATTAAATAAAAAGCAAAAAGGAACCTTCATTGCCATTCGTCGAAAAAGCTGGAATATATCGAAAGAAATCGAAAGCTAGCACAAGAACTATGTTGTTCTTAATTTCCGGTAAAACCAACGAGGTATAACGAATTGCAACTCTTGCTACAGTAATCGAATAAACCACTCATGCGTGAGACATATAAAAACCACAATCCTACATCAGCTTTAGGTATAATAGTTCGTCAAATACAGGCTATCAGCGGATACTTTTACTTCAGGGAGAAGACAGGTGAGTTCCGAAAAATATTCAATAATTTTATTGTTTCGGAATTGAAATGCTGGTAACATCTTTAGTTCTTTTTTGCAGCAAATTATTTTTCCTTTATTCTTTCCTCTAGAATTCAGAAAATATTTGGTATATGTCATTCGATGCATTTAAAAATTTGTTTTAATGGAATCAAAATCCAATGATTTATATAGGATATTAAATGTGCAATAAGTTACTACTTAGTTTTTTTCTGAAGATTTATATTTTCTAGTTTATTAGCCCAAAGGGCCGTTAGCCCAGAATTAATACTAATAGATAAAATAAAGGCCGGGTAAAGACTTTTAAGCAGAGTAAAGGGGTGTGAGTATATATATATATACATATATACCTGTTTAGCACTGCCGATTGCAATAAAAAAGGGAGGTGCACAACTAGGTGCTATAGCTGTCCCATAGACAAAATTTGAACATTCTAAGGCTAATCGTTCTTAAGTTTACATACATATAGACGTCTCGAAATAATCCCCTTTGAATCCGTTTTAAATTTCTTTTACGATCCTTTTTCTTTTATTCTTAATATTATAACAGTCCTTAATTCTATCCGTACGTACAGACATCACAAAAAAAATCGTTCAAATGGATTCGGGAGCGGTCAAAATGGGTATTTACATTGAAACCTGAAATTTCCCCCGATCACGATACTTTGAAATGCTATATATAATTTCTACATGCAATGCACTGAATACTGAAGTACTATATACGTTTCGTAATAAAAATATTTCTTGTTTGAATATATGTTCGAAACTAACATTTTAAATATTAATCCTAAGCCTACTTTTTTAAATAACAGTGCGTTCATATCTACTTTGATAGATGAAATTAACATTGCGAAGATTATTTTTAAGATGTTTTTCCTAAATTCTTATTCTTATTTTACTTTTCTATGCTTCGCAATGTTGCTCGATTAAATATGCTTCGGTATACAACTATACAGTGAAGTGGTAGAATAACTCGTACAGAGAAGCCGGTGCAGTCTACAAAATAACACTGCACAGAATGCACATCGCTGAGAATACATAAAGTGATCAATATCTATGGAAACTTCTAGATGTACTTTCGCCTTAGGGCAAATGTTTACGTTTTAAGCAGATTTTAATGCAGGCTAATAATTGGAACCCATAAGATGTATTATAGCATCTCGGAGGTAAAAACGAAGTTTGCATTTTAACATACGATCATTTCAGTAGTCTACACTGACCACAAGAATTTCAACAAAACTTTGGATTTACGACAACCGCAAAATAAAATTATTGTTGATAAATATGACCAGCGTCAGACTACAGGAATCACCTAAAGCGATAGAGGTAAATCTCTGCCTCAGGTAACATCGAAATTCAGTGCTGGGGCTTCAACAAATATCATGAAAGATTGTGCAAAATTGATTTCATAGTATGGACGCCGGATTACTCTAGTTCGAATACTACTGTATTTTCGAATACATCAGCGAGTATTTGATGAATGCACGATGTACAGCTACTTAGTGCGTCTTAGGCTGGCAGTTTGGCTTCCTCGAAGGTGGTCTTTCCAAACGGTTCTCCAAGAAGGGCATTCCTTTTTTTAGACAGACTGCCCTGACAAGTTTTACAGTGTTAAAAAATAATCCAGTTGGCAGTTTGGACATTAGATATTTGATGACTGGAAACGAGTAGCTTAGTCTGACTAGTCGCTTTTCCAACTGCTTCGGCTTGGAGAAATTCTTAGGAATCCACGAATTTCACGTGTTAGCAGACGAATGCACATGCTATGTAGATTCTTGGTGGTATATGATTTGGTGCTACTTTGGTAGACGGTTGCACGGATTTTGGCGACTTTTTGGCGATTTTTCTTTTGGCGAGTAATACGACTTATAGTAAACCCATTGCTGAATAAGTTATTTATGGTAACCGATCCTTTGTTGTCATTTTATTAAAAAATAATGCGTTTTATTATGCATAAATTCCTTCTTTTAAATATTATTTATGACTTCTAAATATTAAAAATCAATTTAATTTTGTATTTTTATTTGAAATAAAATTTTTATTTTTTCTGATATTTTATAAAATTTTATGTTGTGGATAATGTAATCAATGACGTCACTTACTTTAAAAGTAATTGGTTTTAATATCTATAAATTTAATCTAATGTTTTAAACATTATTTATGGCTGTTAAATATTAAAATACAATTTAATTTTGCATTTTTTGAAAAAATATTTTATTATGTATGGTTATTTAAATAAGTTTAATTCTAGGAGTGATGTAATCAGCTCTCTGATTGGTTATAGAATATTTGTGCATTACCGCGCCATTTTAAAATTTAATTCATATCTTCGAATTCCTTTAAAAATGTCTCTTTCAAAGATGAATGTTATTATTGGTATGTACCAAGGATTATTGGTATCGTAATCAAAAAATTGTCCTTTGAGACCTTATTTTGGCCAGCCTGGCTTTCCTAATCAAAGATTTATTTATAAATTCTTACAAGAAAATTTATTTTAAATTTTTGAAGGAAACCTCGCTAATTGCTTCTTCAATGAAGGGCGAAAGTGAAGATCACAGATGAAGATCATTAGAACAGCCGATTCTGAGGACGGCCGTATATGGTATTGTGGTCATGTTGGAAGAAATAACCGCTGTAAATGTAAGAAAAGTATTAGACATTCCTCCTTTTTTACCGACAATAAACTAATTGCTGTCATTTTAGCTCTAGTGTACGAAGCGTTCATATTTACTTATTTTAAAGTATTTAAGTAATATTTGAATTCCTTTAAACGTTGGCATGATGGTTTTTAATTCGATATTCAATTTACGTAATATTTTAATCCAATTAAAAGTTGGCGCAATGTTTTTATAGCGGTATTTTTATTCTACTTCTGTGCTATATGAAAGTAATAATTTAACCTTTCTTTAGTATTTTATACTCGTAGTAAATGTATTTATTTACATTTGCCTGCCATCTTAAAAAACAACGTTTTCAACAAAAAATTAATCCATTATTTTTAACGATATTTATTTTTTTAAAGTTTCGAATACTTTACTATGCGGAAAATAACGTAAAAACGGGGTTTTTCAAGATGGCTGACGATTGTAAAAACCGCGCCAACAACTGCCATAAAGTAAATCGCCAAAAATCCGTGCAACCGTCTACCAATGTACCAAATGATTTGATTAGCTTATATTCACTGTGGATCAAGGTCTCAATGCTATTGAACTCATTTTTGAGTATCATGCAATGTGCTGAAGAATACAGATATCTTACATTTATGAATGTAACAAAATTATAACCTATAGTGCAGGAACTATAAAATATTATAATAACCGTCAAGAATTTCAAGTTATCCTGGTACAAAAAACACTAAATCAAGGTAAATGAACATTACAAATCAGGTTTCAAAACTGCCAAGTTTATTCAAGTCTAACATACATTCAACTGGCACTGCCAGATCCAAGAACATGAAGTATAACATCATGAGAGATTTACTCTTTGGCGATTAAAATATATTTCCACGTAAAATTTCTTACACGCTGGGCCCCGCTGAGCTGTAGTTCAGAACAATCAAGATTATCAGTAATACACGAACATTTTCAAGAATTATTTTCTAGAATCATTATGCATTTCAATACAAATTCAAGTTTTTGTAATCATGAAATGTCACATAAATATCAAGAACATGTAAAACTTACCATATGTTTTCAAGAATATCAAGTAAATTTTCAAGTAAATTTCATCAAGAATTATTGTTATAACATTTCTGTTCAAGCATCAGTATTTAAATCAAGAATTTATATAACTCAAGATAATATTAAACAAATGATTTCAAAATCAAGATTATCATAATTCAACTAAAATACTAGAATTATTACAAGAAACCTGTCTTTTTTTTCAGAATTAAATTAAAATTTTAAACACACTTATACATTTCTACAACCTTAAAATTTTCTAATATATACATTTCTTTAAATATTAAATATACAGTACTTTAAATAGCAACTAAATAAAATACATACAACATTAGTAGCATTACGATTACATTTTCAATAAGAAATATACTATCATACAATATTAATACTCTTAGCATTTCTAACTTAACTAATAATTGTAAAGGTCTCTTACAGTATAATGAGGGTGCCTTAAAGGTTTTTTCAGTCTTTATTTCACAACTGCGAATTAGTCCATCTCTACCAGTAAATATTTTGAGAACCTTTCCTAATCTTCACATGTTACGTGGTAAATGTCCATCCTGTAAAATCACGATATCGTTCACACTTAAGTCGTGCTTTGCACGCTGATTGTTCACACAATTTGCAGATTTCAGATTCAAAAAATAATCTTTATAAAAGATTTTCCAAAAGTTATTTAATAATTTTTCACGATATAGATGCGCTTTTAAAAGAATTTCTTTAGTACTGCACACTTCATGAGTGTATTTGACAGGAGGAAAATTAGCAAGTTTCTGCCCTAGCAGAAAATGAGCAGGTGACAGAACTTGGGGTTCATTGTCTTGGACGTAAGTCAAGGGTCAACGATTTATCACCGCCTCAGTTTCAGTCAGTACAGTTTACAATTCTTCAGGTAGCAGTGATGTTCTACCAAGAATTTTTCTTAATATTGTTTTGACGGATCGCACAAGTCTCTCGTAAAATCCGCCCCACCAGACTCCTCTTTCAATGATATACCTCCATTGAATGCCCTTTGCTGCATAATAATTCTTTACATCGGGATGGCTTAATACCTGCCACATCTTTCTGAGCTCTGCATCAGCTGCCTTGAATGTACGCGCGTTATCTGAGTATATTAAAGAGCACTTCTTGATATGAATCGACGAAAAGCAAGTAGGAAAGATTTAGTTGTGAGATCGTTGTTAGTTCAAGATGAATGCCTCTAGTTACTGCGCCGGTAAATAATAGGATATAATACTTCGTATCTTCATTTTTCACGAAAAGTGGACCTGCATAATAATCCAGTCCTATAACATCAAAAGGAT